AAGGCTTATCTTGGCTCAAAACACCGTCGTTTTGGGCGAGGGAGAATGCAGTTGAAGTGATGTTGACAAGTGAGTAGAGTAGAAAGAACAAGAAGGTTGGTTTAACGGGAAAAGCCATTCCTAGGTTTGTTTTCCTTGGATTGAACAAGAGTGTTTGTGTACGATGTCTAAAGATTTAGTCTCAATTTATAGTGTTAGTGCATGGACCTCGTGATGTATTTTTTTTTACATATTTGACATGTTAAGTTGTTAATTCAAAATCTCTAGAAATGTTTTTCCATAGAAATTGGCCAAACACTAAACAATCTAGCCTTTGCTGAATTGCTAGGTTCATAACTCAAATATAGATAATATTTTTTTTTATGGTATTAAGATCTTTGATTTCCCAATATGTAGTAAGGAAAAAACTCTTATGAAATAGCGCAATTAAAAAATAATCAATTCGAAACGCCAAATATATATAAAAAATCTATTATCAAAGGAGAGAAATTAGAAATAACCAATTTGGAACCCCAAATATATATAAAAAAATATATTATAAAAGGAGAGAATTTAAAAATAATCAATTCGAAATGCTAGATATATATAAAAAAATCTATTAGAGAATCATTTCCAAATGGAGATATTCATACACTGGTAATAGTTGGCTTTGTATATTCTAAAATAAGCAAGTTCATGCATGGATTCATATGATAGAATCGCTTAATCCCAATTTTGTAAGTATTCAAGGGAAAAGATCAAAAAAAACATAGAATTATGTGGAAAAACTTATTTGATGGTTGAAAATTTTGAAATCGAAATTGGCCCATATAATTCGCCTATGTTTTCCAGATTTTTTTTCCAAAATTTTAAATGTCTCTCAAATCTCGAAGGTATGATATCTTTTTCCTTATCCATATTTTTCCTCAAATACACACACACATACATATATATATATATATATTGGTAATTAAGATAATGTTTTGGATTTTCGGTCTAACTAGATCCATCGGGACAACACCCTATTACAACTTCATCCACCTACATGTATTTTGTCTGGACCGACCGGTCTAGACTGTCGGCAAAATGAGACAAACACAGCGATCTAGACCGACCGGTCTAGGCGCTGGACAGATGGGAAAATCGCGATTTCTGTCCGAGTCCGACCTGAAAGCGACCTGTGCGCACCAATTCCGACCGGAAAATCCGACTTTTTGATCCTAAGCGCAATTTGGTCGACCCTGGGCCAAGATTTCTGTCGGAAATCCGCCTAATCCGAGTTCCATTTAACCCATCTTTCCCCTCACTTGTTCTTCACCCTCAAACTCAGAATTCTCTCTCGAATTCGAACCATTTACGTTGAATCTAGTTTCTACAGAGCAAGGGGAGCATCACAAAGCTTCATAGCCGTCATCCAGAACATGAGATTAACCCGAGGTGAGTGAATTCGAGCTTAATTCGGAAGTCTGTTGACATGGGATTTTGGGTTTATGTGTGTTTCGTGCCAAATTGATGTTTGATTCGTGATTTACATGAAATTCTATGCGTTTTAGTATATTACCCATAGCAAATCGTGCATGTTTGACTGTTTTTGGAAGAAATCTGAGGGCTAGAACTTCTGGTCTGGGGTCAGACCGTCCGTTCTAGAGTTGCAGAAGAAACCCAACAATTCTGAGGTTGAAGACGACGCCTGGACTGACCGGTCCTGAGACTGCACCGATCGGTTTGGACCAAAATAGATCGAGACCCAAAAATTGGACGTAGATCGATCGTCTAGAGTATAGACCGATCGGTCTGGACGAAAAATTCAGTCTGGTCAGTCTGAGTCAGACCGACCCGAAAAAAAAAGTAACGGAACCTTGAAATTTCACCAGGTGAGAGTGAAAAACTAAACTAGCCGGACCTAATATTATCCCGAATTAACATAGTGAAGAAAAAAAAATGGGTCAGACCGGACCCCAGTAGTCTGGACCGAAAATAAATAACAGGTAAATTTAAAAACCACGGAATGAACTGAACTAATTATCCGAGCGAACCGGGTCTAGCTAGGTCATACCGGAGGTATAATTCGATAATAATTAGGTAACTCAAATAGAGAGACTCAAAGAAAATATGCAAAAAAAGTATAAAAGACTACGCAAGTGGAAATACATATATAGCAAATAAACTATATAATTGCGTGTGATTGGGATAGTTGGCAAATGGTTCGGATTAACGTTAACGAGTGATTATAGAAATGGACGCTTGTGAGTGATTGCACGTCGTTTGTGAGATTGCGTCTCATCCATGGGCCATTCGATCCGGGTCGGATGTCACCCATATGGGATATGATTGTGATTGAGGCGATTACCTAATCGCACCAACGTCCGAATAATCGGACGGTTATGGGCACCCCGATGACTTGAGATAGCCGATTGTAGTTGGTCCTATTGCGTGACGAGGAACATACGGTTCTTGGAAACGCGCCAACGTTTCATTAGCGATGGAGCAGATTCCGGGATATGAATATCCTGAGGATGAGGCATTTCACATACCTGAGATTTGGGTGGATTGGGGTCTCCCGAGGAGGTGGTACGGACTTACTCTGTCAGGTTCAGGCCCGAACCCAAGAAGTACTTCCACGGCGGATGGTCGGCGAGGGGGAGTTCCAGCGATTGGCTATCCCGTTATAGTCGATAGCATCGGTTATAGCCGACATCTGGTGAATTTCGGTAATGAGAGGTGCCATCAATGCCGGAGTGAGGTGATACGCCTAGCATCGAGAGGTGACATCGATGACAGGGTGGGGTGATGTGTTTGAGTGGAGAAAAAAAATATACCAATGTCGGATCCGAGGGTTGCGGAGTAGATGGATTCCAAGGAGAGAGTTGGTTGTGCTATGCACATGGAGAGTACATTACCTATGCACGGTGCGCGTAGAGACGATTTGATGGACTCTGTCCTGCGATTTATCATACGGACTTGATTGTGATTCCTGATATAATTATTATTGACACTACAAAAAAACCTGCATATAGCGACGAAATTTGCGACGGAAATTTCCGTCGCACAGAAAATTGCGACGGAATGTGACGATTTTACGACAGAATGTGGAAAAAAATTATCCGTCGCAAACAATCGCAAAATCCGTCGCAATTTGCTACGGTTTGCGACGGATAATTCTGTCACAACAAAGAAATAGATGATTTGCGACGGAAAATAAAAATTGCGACGGATTGCGACAGAATATTCCGTCGCAATGTATTTGGTTTCATTTTTCGACGAAATTTTTTGAATTTTGGGCGCGTAAATTAATTTTATTTTGTTACGGATTGCGACGGAAAATTCCGTCGCAAAACGCAATATAAAACCACGAGTCGTCTTCTTCATCAGACTTCAAAAATTTTATGAAAAAAAAAATAAAATCGATTTTTTTTTTCTAAATCCTCCAAAGATCGCCAAATTCCTCCCATAAGGTAATATATATCTATTTATGTATATATATGTGTGTGTTTGATGTATTTGTATGTGTTTATGTATGTGTATGTGTGTGTAAGTGAATGTGTATATATATGTGTGAATGTGTATGTGTGTGTTTATATATGTGTGTAAGTGAATGTGTATGTATGTGTGAATGTGTATGTGTGTGTTTATATATGTGTGTAAGTGAATGTGTATGTATGTGTGAATGTGTATGTGTGTGTTTATATATGTGTGTAAGTGAATGTGTATGTATGTGTGAATGTGTATGTGTGTGTGTTTATGTATGTGTATGTGTATATATATGTGAATTTGAATATGTATGTGTATGTATATGTGATTGTATGTGTATATGAATATGTGTATATGTGTGTGTTTATATGTATGTGTATGTGTTTGTGAAATGTATATGTGTATGTGTTTGGGAAATGTATATGTGTATGAGTATTTATGTATGTGTATATATGTGTATATGTGTGAATGTGTATGTGTATTTGTGTATATGAAAATATGTGTATATATATGTATGTATGTGTATGTATATTTGTATGTGTGTAATGTATATGTATGAATGTATGTATATGTGAAAATATATATATGTATGTGTATATAGTATATAATTTTTTTATATTTTTTTTTTAATTTTTTAAAACATTTGCGACGGAATGCGACGGAAAAAATTCCGTCGCAATTTGCGACGGAATTATCCGTCACTTTCCGTCGCAAAACGCAAATAAAGTGCGACGGATTAACGACCGTTATACGTTTGCGACAGCGTTATACCGACGGAAATAAGTCCGTCGCATTCCGTCGCAAATTCTTAATTGCGACGGATTTCCTTTATATTTGCGACGGATTTTTCCGTCGCTATATAACTGTTTTTTTGTAGTGTGATTCCATGTTCGATTCCTGTTTTTTTTTTTAGAATATTAGTGTATACATATATGTGATGTTTTTCCTAGTTCCAGGAGAATAGAACTCCGGGTTACGCCCGAGTTCACTCTCTAAGAAATTAGCTTAGAACGTTGTTATGCAACATTTCAGGTCGTGAGTATCAATAGTCGAGGAGCGGACATCGGAGACCTGAGTAGCGTATCACTACCGATCATGTATAATTATGTATTTTGATATATTTATATCCTGGTAAATGGGTTGCGTTATATCGGTGATAGACATTTTAAGGTTTATAATAATATTATACTACCACTCGACTATGTATAATTATAACTGGAAATAATATATCATATATGTACATACGAGTGTTTTCTTTCGCTAACTCTGAAAAGAAAAGTTTTAAATTCGCGCGAACTTTTGGAATTATGTCTTTATTTTAATTGTTCATGTGACGCAACTCATATTGCGGGATACGAGTTTTGGGTGTTACAACTTCATCATCATCACATACACACTTAATATATAATATAAAAAAAATTCCAAAAACACTGACTTTTTTTAATTTTGTCGAAAGAACATAAAATTCGATATAAAATTTAAAATTCGATTCTCTTCTTATTATTATGTCTTTTTTATGACATGGTGAAAAATACATCACATATGTGTTTCTATGCCTTGTTCCAATCGTAACAAATGTCGAAGATTTTGGTATCTTGGTTCATTCTGCATGGTCCAGTCTTCCGTACCCTCCAGATTAAGCTATCCGTCCAATCACTGAAAGGATTTTCCCTACCGTCATCATAGATATCGAACCAATGCGAGTCACCTTTCCACCAGAATCTACAAAAGAAAAGCGTCGTGCCCCAGAAATTGGGTCTGAATCTGAAAGACCACGACTCGTTCGGTCGCAAGATCTTGTACCCGAGATCGTCGTTTTTCGACTTACAATGAAACTCTAACCATATACCATCTCCGAGAACGTTGTTGATCTCAAGCGACACTTTATCTCTGAGCCCATTAATGTTGTCTGAAGGCTTATCTTGGCTCAAAACACCGTGGTTTTGGGCGAGGGAGAATGCAGTTGAAGTGATGTTGACAAGTGAGTAGAGTAAAAAGAACAAGAAGGTTGGTTTAACGGGGAAAGCCATTTCTAGGTTTGTTTTCCTTGGATTAAACAAGAGTGTTGTGTACGATGTCTAAGGATTTGGTCTCAATTTATAGTGTTGGTGCATGGACCGTCTTTCGTGATGTATTTTTTTTTTACATATTTGACATGTTCAGTTGTTAATTCAAAATCTCTAGAAAATTGTTTTCCATATAAATTAGACAAACACTAAACAATCTAGCCTTTGCTGAATTGCTAGGTTCATAATTCAAATACAGATAATATTCTTTTTTTATGGTATTAAGATCTCTTATTTACCAATATGTAGTTAGGAAAAAACTCTTCTGGAATAGAGAAATTAAAAAATAATCAATTCGAAATGCCAGATATATAAAAAAATCTATTATAAAAGGAGAGAATTTAAAAATAACCAATTCGAAATGCCAGATATATATAATAAAAAAAAATCTATTAGAGAATTATTTCCAAATAGAGATATTCATACACTGGCAATAGTTGGCTTTGTATATTCTAAAATAAACAAGTTCATGCATGGATTCATATGGTAGAATCGCTTAATCCTAATTTTGTAAGTATTCAAGGGAAAATATCGAAAAAAACATAGAATTATGTGGAAAAACTTATTTGATGGTTGAAAAATTTGAAATCGAAATTGGCCCATATAATCCGCCTATGTTTTCCAGATTTTTTCTTCCAAATTTTTAAATTCCTCTCAAATCTCGAAGGTATGATATCTTTTTCCCTATCCATATTTTTCCTCAAATATATATATATTTGTAATTAAGATAATTTTTTAGATTTTCGGTCTAACTAGATCCATCGGGACAACACCCTATTACAACTTCATCCACCTACATGCATCTTGTAACATTAATCAACACGATAAAGTAGAAGATCTTCATCATCACACACACACTTGATATATAATATAGGGAAAATTTCAAAAACACTGAATTTTTTAATTTTGTCAAAAAAACATGAAATTTAATTTTTTCAAATAAACATTAAACTTTTTAAATGAGTCTAAAATAATAATGAACGTTTTTAATGTTCCAAAAAATATATGAATTTTTTTGTGATTATTAAAAAACATTGAACTTTTTCAATGATCCAAAAAAATACATAATTTTTTATCGACTGTCAAATAATCTGACGTATTTATATTTTTTGTATCATGTCAAACATTTTGTTTATTTTGATAATCGTAAAAGAGTTAAGTGTTTGTTTTGTCAAACTCAAAAAAATTTAATATTTATCTGATAAAATAAAAAATTAAGTGTTTTTTTTATGAAAGTTAAGTATTTTATTGAGGTTTTTTCTATAATATATATATAAGAGATTATAACGCATTTTGTCTTTATTCCATCATATGAACCACAGTTTTATTCTATCTTTCCTACCCAAAATAAAACAAAATCGTGAAAAAAACATCACATGTGTTTTTTCTACGGTTTGTTCCAATCATAATGTCTCGTGGCTGAATCTGCGTAGTCCACTCTTCCGTACCTTCCACAAGTATTTTGTCCAATCATTCGCGGCATTATCCCTAGTTATGTGAGCCCCCTTTCTACCCGAATTTAAAGAAGAAAAGCATTGTGCCCCATAAATTGGGTTCAAATCTGACCGACATGACTCATTTCGGTCGCAAGATCTTGTAGCCGAAATCTTACTTCAACCTTAGTTTAAAATTATTTTGTTAAATCTTTCTCAATTTAGTTACTCCTTAGATCATTATAGAAACATTTTCAAATGGAGATATTATGCACTAACATTAGTTGGCTATGTGTAATATAATATAAGCAAACATATGATAAAATTGTTTAATTCCTATTTTATAGGTATTCACGGAAAAATATTATTAAAAGGAAAAATGATATTTTTCTACACGAATTTAGTAAAATGTGATCTTTTCATATATGTATTTTTAATTTGATAAAAAAACTACATTTGAATTTAAAATATCTATACAAATTATTAAAATTAATAGTAATTACATACATAATCATCATTTTTGTTAAAAAATTTCGGATTCTGTTAACTAATACACTGGCGTATATGATAGTTATAATAATGATATAACTAATGCATTAGTTATATCATCATTTTTGTTAAAATATTTTGTTTGTCCTTCTCAATTTGGTTTCTCCTTAGACCATTATAGAAATATTTTCAAGATATTCATGCATTATTAGTAGGCTCGGTATAATATAAGATAAACAAACATTATGAGTAAATATTTTTATACGGATCGGATACCCCCAATTTTTAGAAAACTTTGTTTCGTCTAAAACACCAAGGGTTTTACAAAAATATTGTCTCAGTCTTTACTTCATAAAATTTGGGTACTTGTAATTTGAGTTTAATGAGATTCTCGGTCTTATATCCGATGGGTACCCGAACCCATACAACTTATAAAATTCTAAACCATAAAATGATAGAGATAGAGAGAGTACAAATAGAAAAGGTTAAAGTATAAAGAGAAAAGTTCACCAAATGAAGAGGTTAAAAGAGGGTTTGGAATGGTGAAATTTTTATATAAAATTATCTAGAAGATAAAAACAATTAATTAAATAAAAGTAATTTAGTAAATAATAAGAATAACTTAGATAAATATTATAATTATAGAAGATATTTAGTTTTTTAAACAAATATATACCGGATATTCCGTATAAAATAATTGAAACTCGAATTCAAACTGGAGGGTCGAAAATTTAGCCTCGTTAATACTCTATCTTATCATCGTTAATATTCGAGTACTTGTTAAACTGGGTATCTCTAAATCCTTGGGTTACCGGTTAAAACGTCCACCCCTAAATGATAATTTGTAAATTAAATGTAATATCTTGATATTGTTTGCATGCATCTCGTATATTAATCAATGGGATGAAAAAATATATATAATGTACATCCTAATCGAAACAATCTGATTTAGATTAATTTAGTTTTAGTTTAAATTTAACAATCTAATTCGATACAAAATTTTAAAAAAAAAAACTCGATTCTCTTCTGATTTTTTTACTCCAATAATTGTTTATAATTATCTAATTAAATCATTTATAGGTAAGACTTATCTTGTAGATGCAAGAGTTTGATTTTACAACTCGAACCCATCAACCCATAAAACGATAAGAGATTATAACTTTAGTGTGTCTTTTTATGACACGGTGAAAAATACATCACATATGTTTTTCTATGCTTTCTTCCAATCATAACAAATATCAAAGTTTTTGGTCTTGCTGTTGAATCTGCATGGTCCACTTTTCCGTACCTTCCACAAACTTTCCGTCCAATCATACGAATCATTATCCCTATCGTCATCATAGATATCGAACCAATGCAAGCCACCTTTCCATCAGAATCTACAGAAGAAAAGCGTCGTGCCCCAGAAATTGGGTTTGAATTTGAACGACCACGACTCATTCGGCCGCAAAATCTTATACCCGAGATTGTTGTTTTTCGACTTGCAATGGAACTCTAACCATGTACCATCTCCGAGATCATTGGTGACCACGATCGTTACTTTCTTCTTGATCCCATTAACGTTGTATGAAGGCTTATCTTGGCTCAAAACACCGTCGTTTTGGGCGAGAGGGGATGCCATTGAAGTGGTGTTGACAAGTGAGTAGAGCACAAAGAACAAGAAGGTTGGTTTTATGGGGAAAGCCATTTCTAGGGTTTTTGTTGGATTGAACAAGAGTGTTTGTGTACGATGTTTAAGGATTTGGTCTCAATTTATAGTGTTAGTGCATGGACCGCCTTCGTGACGTATTTTCTTTTCTCTTTTACATATTAATTTTGACGTTTCAAGCTGTTAATTCAAAATCTCAATTACATAGAAAAGTTTTTCATAGAAATTGGTCAAACGCTAAAGAATCTAGCCTTTGTTGAATTGTTGGGTTCATAATTCAAATACAGATAATTTTTTTTTTTTATGGTATTAAGGTCGTTGGGTTACCAATCTCTAACTAGGAAAAAACTGTACGGTGGAATAGAAAATTTAAAAATAATCAATTTAAAATATCAAATATAGAAAAAAAATATTATAAAAGAAAAAAAATTAAAAATAATCAATTCGAAACACTACAGATGAAATCAGATCGAATAACAAATAATGATACGGGCTTGCAATTTGGAGAAAGTGACAAAGAAACGGACAAAATTATTATTTTTTCCTATTTGTCATTAGCTACAAAAGACGATTGTACAATAAAATTAAACCTCGCCGCCAGCTCCTTACGTTCATGATACAAATTAAAGACAATTATCCAATAATTTGGAGTTAAATAGGAAAAATAATAAATATGGTTATTAAAGGGATAATTGCGGTTTCTTTTTCTTTTATAATATAGACGTCACTAATGATTTTTTAAATGTTACAAAATATGATAAGACAGTTATAGAATTAATTAGAGAAAATCATAAACACGTCATAAACACGTATGGATGTGTTTAACTGTGTACATCGACGTTACAAATATCATCATTAGCCATTTCAACGTTATAAATACATAGACGTTATATGTAGCTAATGACAAATTTGATTAACCAGTGAGGATCAAGGATTTTGCCACGTCAATGATATGATATATTTGGATGCCACATGTCCTCACCACAATCCATGTGGACTGACTTGTATAACTAGTGACAAATTTATATTATTTCATTTATTCACTTCTTATACATATATAACGACCAATACTACATTTAACATTGTGACCCAGTAAGTAGTGGGGGAGTGGTTGAAAGGGTGTTGCTCTCGGGACCCCGGTCATCAGTTCGAATCCAGCTGTTGGGGAGGGAGGGGGTGTTTTCTCGGTTGGGAGGGTGTTGCTCTCTGGACCCCTGTACCGGGCCTCTAAAAACTGCTCCCGGGCCTGAAGGATGTAGGTTGGGCCGAAGGTCCAGATGAATCTCTCAGTTAACAAAAAAAAAAAACCATTGTTATTTCGAATTATTTTGCAGGAGTAAAATGCTAAAATGTGTCAAGAGAATTTATTGCTCCACTCATCATTACATTTATTATTTAGATGTTGATAACGGTTGTTATATTAACAGAACATCATCTGGTTTTCGTGGAATACAAGCGTAGCCACTACGAAGGGACCATCGGCCGCGACGTAAGCAAATCCGCGAGCCATTTCGGCGACGTAAAAAAATTTCTAACGTACGTCTAACCAAATCAATCTAATTTAGAATAATTTTAATTTAAATCTAGAATCTGAATATACAATCATAAAAAAAAAGTCGTTTTTTCTTTTGATTTCTTACTTCAACCTTTGTTTAAAATTATTTTGTTTGTCCAAATGGAGATATTCATGCACTAACAATAGTTGGCTTCGTATATTCTACAAAAAGCAAGTTCATGCATGGATTCATCGTTTAATTCCAATTTTGTAAGTATTCACGGAAAAAGATCGAAAAAAAAACATAAAGAAGTATGTGGGAAAACTTATTTGATGGCTGAAAATTTTGAAATCGGAATTGGCTCAATTAATTCACCCGTTTTCCGGATTTTTTTTCCCGAATTTTTAAATGCCTCTCAAAACCCGAAAGTATGATATCTTTTTTCTTATCCATATTTTATATATATATATATATATATCATCTTGTAACATTAATATGACCTTCATCGACACACACTTTATATATATAAAATAAGAGATTATAACGCATTCTGTCTTTATATCGACAGAAAGTTTACTTGATAGTGTCCTAACGCATGGACTACCATATCATTGTCTTTCCTACCAAAACTAAAACAAAATCCAGAAAAATACATCAAATTTGTTTCTATGGTTTCTTCCAATCATAACAAAGATCAAAGTTTTTGGTCTTGTGCCTGAATCTGCATGGTCCACTCTTCCGTACCTTCCACAAACATTCCGGCCAATAACTCGCAGCGTTATCCCTAGTTTGGTCAAAGATATCGAACCAATGCGAGCCACCTTTCCACCAGAATCTACAGAAGAAAAGCGTCGTTCCAAAGAAATTGGGTTCGAATCTGAATGACCACGATTCCTTCGGTCGCAAGATCTTGTAGCCAAGATCGTTGTTTTTCGACTTGCAATGGAACTCTAACCACATTCCATCTCCGAGATCGTTGGTGATCACGACCGTCTCTTTCTCCCTGAGCCCACCATCAACGTTGTCTGAAGGCTTGACTCGGCTTTCGTTTTCGGCGTGGTGTGATGCCATTGAAGTGATGGCAAGGGAGCACAGTACAAAGAACGAGATTGGTTTCATGAGGAAATCCATTTCTAGGGTTTATGTTTTTGTTTATTTGGGTTTGTACAAGTATTTTGGATGGTGGTTATGCTCTGAATTTATAGTGTTAGTGTGGAATATTAAATATCCTGCAAATATTTTTTATAATAATATAACGATTTGTTTTCCTTCATCACCCCACCAAAAACCGTCTGTGATTGATATCGTATGAAATCATTTTATATTGGAAATAGTATCTGGATTTCGATCTTACAATAAATGATTAAACTTGTTTCCATGTTTTAAAAAAATGCCCATTTTATTCTCTATCCATAATAATGGAGAAAAGGGATTTAAATATATAAAATCAGATCAAACTCATGTTAAAAATACATATATATCATTATGAAAAGATAGTATAATGTAATGGAAATTATGAGTTTGTGTAAAAATAAATGATATATATATATACATATATATATAAACATATTTATATATACACATATATAATACATACATATATATATATATGTATAATTATATGTTTTATATGTATGTGTTATATATATATATATATATATATATATATATTTAAAAATCAATCTAGTTAAAGTGACACGATCCTGTTAATTGTGTGTAAATGACAAATTAAGGAAAGGAACAATTAAATTTCTCCTTAAAAACCTTCTAAATTTCATCCTAACCAAGCCAATTTAATTTAGTTTAATCTAGTTTTCATTTAAATCGAACAATCTGAATTATATATAAAATTATTAAAAAGCTTGATTCTCTTTGTCAATAACTAGAACAATCATTTTCTTTTTGTTTTCATTTTATTCGTTTGTATTTTGTTCGTAGGATGATTAAGTACTTTCAATGTCATTTTTTTATATTTGTTTTTGAATTATACTTATTTTTATTTATTTGTTTCCTTTCTTACAAATACATACATTTTTTTAATGATCAACCTATATATGTATATAGTTATATTCATATATGCACCGTTAATAATATATCACAAACATTTATATACCTTTTTAAAAAGAATTTTAAAAATTTTTGTGGTTATTGATTATAAATGATAAAATATAAATACATTTATGTATAACTACATCATTTATAATTATAAAAAAGATCTAGATATTATTTTATTTATTTTAAGAAACTTTGTTTTTTATTTTAATTTTGAAAATTTTCAAAGTATTATTTTATGTGCCATCCCATCTTGAAAGTTGAAACCAAAATACATTTAAAAATTATTCTTTTTTTTATTCATGGATGATTTTAAATAACTAATTGAAAATAATTGTTTTTTTTTTAGTTTATCCGAAACAACAAAAATATTAGTTGCTGCATATATAAGTCGTAGAATCAACTACAGTGAACATTTAACATAGTATTTTTCCCGAGATCAAAATCTTTACACCCGACGGCGAATGCATCTCTCTTCTCTTCTCTTTCGGTCGCTCCTCACCGGTAGGTTCTTCCTCGGACGAATTCTCCGTCGCTGTCCGGTTGGTTCGCCATTTCCCAGATTCGCTCGTCATTGCGCCTTTTTAGATCGGAATCTTTTGTGATCTTGGGTGGCCTGTCTCCTTTCTTTGTTCAGGGTTTTGAGAACTAAAGTGAAGAACTTGGTCTTCGTCGGACGATGTGGGGACTTGGAGGATCCCTTGAAGGCCATGCTCCCAAGAACTGGCTCCTCAAGGCTCGACACCCCTTCGTCACTTTAACCGAGGTTTGTCTCTCTGAGTTTTGCTTGCTCTGGGCCCGAATTTTCAGTTTTCTTGCACGATCAACTCTGGTTTGGAAGTTGGGTTTTCTGTTTTTTCACGAAAGAAACCTGGGTTTCGTGAAATCTTGATTGTGGCGGGTGATGCCGTGCCCCTCGACATTTTGTTGCCAATGATGGTGAGTGAAGTCGTTGATCATCTCATAATGACATAATCTGTGTTATGGTATTATTCCCTAAAAAAATATTTCTTTTGGGCTTTCGGGAACGCAAACGGAGCCCGTAAGAAGGAAAGTTGAGAAAACGTCGTCGTCTTCGTTTCGTTGACTGTCTCTGGAGAAAGCCCACAGAGAGGGAGGAAGAAAGAGAGACGCGCGAAGCTCTCGACGATGGCGGCGGCTCAGCAGCAGGCGTTGCAGAAGAACACGTTGTACGTCGGAGGTCTCGCGGAGGAAGTAAACGAATCGATCCTTCACGCTGCGTTCATACCTTTCGGTGACATAAAGGACGTAAAGACGCCATTGGACCAAGCGACGCAGAAGCACAGATCCTTCGGCTTCGTCACCTTCCTCGAGAGAGAAGACGCTGCAGCCGCCATGGACAATATGGACGGGGCTGAGCTCTATGGCCGTGTTCTCACCGTCAATTATGCCCTCCCCGAGAAAATCAAGGGTGGTGAACAGGGTTGGGCCGCTCATCCACGTACGTGTTCTGATCCCTCTTTGTTCCTCCCTTTGATTTTTGCTCACGATTTTGGTGATGTCGATGTTTCGATTCGGTTTCCTTGATTCTTCCTGGTTGAAGTTTCTAAATTGAGTTTAGGGACTGGGGATTTTTTGCGGAATCTAGGGTTTACAAGTACTCACGTTGAGAGTCACCGATCCCGACGCTAATTGTAATCTCTTCATAGATTCACTGTTGGGTTGCTCCCTGCTAGTTTCTTGGGTTTGTCTGATTTAGGTGAATTTCCTCAAGAGTTGTCTGCTGCTGACAGATTCTGTGATTGAAACCCAGATCGTATATGCATGAAAAAGTATTGATCGAATAGATATATTGATCAGATCCATTTCCGGGCTTTGTGTGTATGGTTATTAGGTTCTTGAATTGTCTAGGGTGTTCATTTATCTCAATTGAATTCAAGCTAGCAAATGAATCTATCTTGTTATAAAAAGCATGGATCTTTTGGTGCATTTCAGTTTGGGCGGACGCAGATACGTGGTTTGAAAGGCAGCAACAAGAACAGGAAATGCAGAGGATCCAAGCCGAGAACAAGGCCGCGATGCAGGCTGCCGAGGAGTTGCACAGGAAGAAGCTGGCACAAGAGCGAGAAGGCGAGAAAGAAGACGAACTAGACATCAAGGATAATCCTATGGCCATAGCCGAGTGACAGTAACCATCCTAGAAGCTGGATCCTGTTCTTCAACCAGGTGTGTTGTCATAGATGCTAGATTTGGTGCTCACTTTTAAGTTTAATCACATTGTTAGAAGCAGAAGAAGCAGGAACATGTAATTGCTTCTTGATTTTTGTTGTTCATTGTCTGGCATACATAACTAAGATCGAATGCCAAAGCAGATGCTGGGCTGGTCCTGGTTAAAGTTTTTGGAACATAACCTATATATGTTTCCTGCATGATGGCATTGGTTTCTAGGTAAAAAGCCATTTCTTGTATTGTAATTGGGGTTTTTTGTTTCTTGGATTGAAGATGGTGAAGTTGGTTCTGTACCATTTCTATATTTAATTTACCATAATTGGTCATGTTAAAGTTTTAAAATTGATGCGTAGTAAATCTTGAATTATAAGTGGCAAGAGATAATAAGGTGACATATATGTAATATACCTTGCATATACATATACATATACATATACGTATAGAAGTGTTTGTTATGTTGTATCCTATGACAGCGAATCCGCGACACGATCTTCCATTGCATGATTTGGGCCTTTGGCATTGACATCTGTCTTAAACTTTCGACAGATACACTTGCATTGCAACACGTCAATCTCTCTGACCTGACCGCCATGCAAAGTCCACGATTTCAGTTGCATCATTCAGTTCAAAATCGACCAAAGAACTTAACTTTACAGCAATCGGAGTCGAACCCAAATCTCAAAATCTCATCTTGACGGCTAATTGATCACGATCGGGAAGAACTTAGATCAAGAGATGGTGGAAAAGAGGGATAGAAGGAAAGATCGTGGCGGTGACGTGTGGGATGGGGTTGGCCGGAGCCGCCCTCTGCCTTGAGCTGCTCCGCCGTGGGGCCCTCCATGTCCGCTCCTTCGACCGCCGCTCCTCCTCCCCCTGGTCCCACCGTCTCAGAGATTCCGGTGTTCATTGTATACAGGCTATATATATATATATATAGTACTAATTCTACTCAAAATCAGACGGAAAATTCTCTGAAACCGCTAATATATAAAAATATACTTACAAAACGCTCCAAAGGATGTTACGAAATCGTAATTGCGAATGCATGCATGCCTATTTCTGTGTATTTGTGTCTGAATAGACTTTATGTGTGTAATGAAGAGTTAACCGTTAAGTTAGTTATATGTTTTTTAAACTGTGATATGTATCAGGAAACGTAGTTTGTAGAGAAGAGGTGGCGGCAAGGAATTGCTTCGGAAGCCTCGGATCCACGAGGTTAACATCGAAGGAACTCGTAATGTCGTGGAATCTTGCGTGAACCACGGGATCACGAGACTCGTGTTCTTGAGCACGAACGGCGTTGTTTTCGGGGGGAGGGAGATTGAAAACGGAGACGAAACTCTGCCGTATTTAGCGTCGGATGAATACATCGATCCTTACAGTCGGAGTAAATCTGAGGCTGAACGGTCGTCCTGTTGAGTAAGTTATTCGTATTGTCGATGAAACCGAAAACTTGAATCTTCGAGAAATAAGTTTATATGATTTTACTTTTTCTGTACCGAATTGGTAGAAGATGCGGAGAATTGCTTTGTACTTGTGTGATACGATCCGCCGTTTTGTACGGGCCGGGCGAAGAGAGGCATCTTCCGAGGATAATCTCTAATGCAAGACTAGGTCTACTGCTTTTCAAAATCGGCGATCCGGACATAAAAACCATTGGATTTAGTACAGAATCTCGTGCATGCTCTCACATTAGCGAGCGTGGCTCTACTCTCCGAGGATTCAAGAGCTGCGGGAAATGCATACTATATCTCGGATGGTAATAGTTCTCAACTGAGTTTCATTTTCTCGATATGGTTAAAATCATTTATATGGAATATCTTCGCAGGTCGTCCGATCAATTGTTTCGAATTTCTACGTCCACTTTTGACAAATCTAGATTACGATTTGCCTAAATTTTCGGTATCGGTTCCTCACGCACTGTTGCTCGGAAGGATGTTCGAGGTCGTGTACGCTTCCATATATACGTTACTGAACCAACGATGGATTCCGCAACCATTAATCCTCCCCGCCGAGATCTATAAGGTCCGATCGAATTCCCGGCATCAATATGATCATAATGATTTCAAATCGAACGAAAAGATCAAACCTTTCATGCATATCGCAGGTCGGAGTGACCCATCACTACTCGATCCGCAAAGCCCAGAAAGAACTCGGCTACTTGCCCGAAACAACACCCGAAGAAGCTATGGCCGAGACGATATCTTATTTTCGGGACAAAAAGAGGCGAGAAGTAGAGGTGCCGAGCATTTACGCGTGGATATTCTGTCTTATCGGATTGCCCGGCATCTTGGCCGTGGCATGGCTACCCGACATAGGTCCTATCCCATTTTTCCGAGCCGCCTCGTTGTTTTTTTATCGGTCCATGTTCGTGTTGCGGGTAATGTCGATATTTTTCGTGTCCGCGCACATCGCGGAAGGCGTTTACGCGTGGTTTTTGGCTCGGAGAGTGGATCCGAAGAATGCGAAGACGTGGTTTTGGCAGACGCTTGTTCTTGCCACTTTCTCGCTTCGTTTCCTGTGGAGAAGAGCCAAAGAGAGGAAACAACGATAAAGAAAAAGTCTCTTGATGAAAAAATGGGTAAATTCTGTAAGTAATAAAAACACTTTTGGTAATGGAACGTTTGTTACTGTTATTGCATTATTGAATATTGATATTATTGGAAGAAGAAGAAAGACAAATTTTAAAAAAAAAACTTTTCCTTAAACGTCATATGTTAATTTAATTATAATATAATAATGAATGTAAGCTTTTATTTGTTTGGAAATGGATAATAGATGTCTCGTGAGGTGAGCAATGGGAAGTGGACATATCTGGAAACACATGGCGGCTGTTTCGTCTTTCCATTCTCCATCTCTGAGCTTCTCGATTCCACGCGCTTCAGCACCACCGTCTCTCAGCAACACGGCAGGTCCTTACACACACACACACATTTATATAGATATACTCACCGATATATATGTATCTCTCTCTCTCTCTCTCTTCATTTCAATGTCTGAAACTCCCTGGCTCATCGGTGCCCTTGTAGTACTCAGTTCATCCTCTTCGCCCAATTTTCAGGATTCAGAAGATGTATGAACCGTTCAATCATCTGTTCTCAGGACATCTCCGAACAGGATCTTCAGATTTCGTACCTCTCTCTCTCTCTCTCGCTGTCCCAAATGTGACTTCACTCCTGAGTTTTGTCGATGTTTCGCTTTCTGGGTTTGCTTTGAATCCGAAAAAGTTTCCTCCTTTCCACAGATCTCGTGACCAGCTACGAACGAACAGAAGAGAAATCATGTTTCAGATGGCTTACTCTGTCTCCATTCTTCCTCTGTTTGCTTCACCTGCATTTGCAGACACAAGTATTGTACTTTAGCAGCTCCGTTTGTTCCAGAAAGCATACTTTGCATTTGCAGGGAAACCTGAATCTTGAATGTCTTTTTCCTCAGATGTGTCGGATAATTTCCGTATGTATACAGACGAATCCAACAAGTTCGCGATATCGATCCCCCAAGGTATACAGTTTCAAACATTGTTTAAGCATTTTGATGAACCTTTTACTAAAGTCTGGGTTTTCATCAATGGCTTTTGCAAGATTGGCAAATCGGGAAAGGAGATTCGGATGGATACCGATCGATCACTGCTTTCTACCCAGAAGAAGCAGCTTCGACCTCCAACGGTAATATCCATCATCACCATTCCATTCTGTCTCGGTCGACCTGTGGTTCTAAACACTCTGGACAAAACCTGATTGTGTATCTTGACTCAGTGAGTGTAGTCATCACTGGACTCGGTCCAGATTTCACCAGAATGGAATCTTTTGGAAAGGTCGACGAATTCGCCGAGACTCTGGTTAGCTTTCCAGACCAACACCGGCTTTTGATCTCTTACATCTCTGCAAATCTCAAACATCTTCTTACCTTACCTGTCTGAACCAAATCAGGTCAGTGGATTGGACAGAAGCTGGCAAAGGCCACCCGGTGTGAAGGCCAAGCTTGTGGATAGCAAATCTTCCAAGGGTAAAAAAAAAACTCGAACTCGGGTTTGAGAGTTTTTTGTATCCACTGACATGGATAACTGATGTTTATTCATGGATGATCAAGGATTCTATTACATCGAGTATACACTGCAAAACCCGGGAGAAACTCGCAAGAATTTGTACTCTGCAATTGGAATGGCATCAACCGGTTGGTACAACCGGTTATACACAGTTACAGGGCAGGTGAATCTTGATTCTCTCAGATCTTTACCTGTTTCTGGGTTTCAGACAACTTCCATTGACGGATTTTCGCCTGTCTTCCTGTCTGTTACAGTTTTCCGACGATGAATCTGATAAATACAGCTCCATGATCGAGAAGGTAAGTGAATCCAACAAGCTGTGGATACGAACCAAGATTATTAACCACCACCAAGAACCTCTGTTCAGGCTCCTGACATTTTCGGCTATTTTGCAGACGGTCAAGTCTTTCAGATTCATATGAACAGAGGGTCACAGGACAGAGGATTCAGACAATGATACAGAGAACATGTCCATTTCTATCCGAGAAGAACATATGTAAAGAATCCACCTCCATAATTTGGAGTGAGCTCCAGACAACAATTTTTAACTGTTGGTCAAACTGTCAAAACATGAAAGAAACCCTAGAGAAACTAATATGCACAGAAGCAGAGGCTAAAGAAAGTGATCATGTTTTACTTACAATGCAGGACTCAAGACACTAGAACAGGACAGATAATCTAACCAATTTAACTACAGACCCCAAATGCCTGAAGGGTCGTGTGATCTACAAAAGAATCATATGCTGATTCCACCGTGTGTATGCATGTGTGTGTATATATATATGTATGTATAATATGCATGACTTTGTACACCAACTTATCCCTAATGGTTGTTCCAGGAAAACCCTATTCCAGGAGAAACCAATATACTCCATGAAAGCAAGCAAAAGCTCAACCATGAGATGCTCGCTCGTGTGTTTCGGTATTAGATACAAACCCTTCTTCTTTCTCCTCCGCCTTCCCCGAGAGAGTGACTAAGACCTTTCAGACTTTTCCGGTGAGCAAGACTAACACTTTACGACCTGTAACCCCGAAAAATCCATCATTTCCGTAACCATGAAAGCTTCTCTTTGGATGAAAGAAACAGAAGGGTACACACCAAAAGATTACCTCTAGAATGCAAAAGATAAAACAATGCGCAAGGCTTAAAACAGGAAGCCCGCCACCGCGAGTGTAGCAAGTTCCGCCCTCCCTTCCCTTCTCTTCAAGTGTATCTGAAACGAACGAATACCATCCAAGAAAACGTGCATGTAAAATCTGACCTAAAGACTTTAAAAAAAAACAGAAAACAACTCGTCCTTACGTTTGATCGATGGATCCTCACCCAGTATTTTGGTCGGAACCGCCAGTCTGCATGAACTGAGGAGCCTGCACAATGATATGTGGCTGTGCAGGTACATGCCCTGGAATAGACATGGGAAAAGTGAAAAGGGAATCCTACATAACTTTTCCCAAAGCAAGCACAACACCGAAACATCTATCTACATGACTTTCTTGCTCGAATCTCAGTACAAGGTAGCAGAATCCTGCCATGGATATCCTATAAATCAGGTCATAAAGCTTCTTCCTACGAACCCTTTATTTCACACTAGTCGGGTTTGCCAAAAAACTAAGAGAAGTAGCTTCACGTGAGTGTCTATATTTACAACCGGCTTCCTCTTCACACCACATTACGAAAATACACATCAATCTGGAAGTGATGGAAAGAGCGTATCATAGTACTGTATAAGACGGTAAAGAACGAACCTTGAGGGTAGGGAGATTCAATAGCAGGTATAGATGAAGTCGTCATTGTACTGACACTGGGTCCACCGAGCTGAAGAACATGACTTCCCGGAACTGTATAACCCTGAACCGATGTATAGCCATGACCACTCGGAACAGCTTGACTCAGTTGCCCGAACGGATAAACCGGAGTGTTAACCGTTCCAGGAACTCCATAGACCTGAAGGTACTGTTGGCCCATGTAAGGACCATATATGCCCTAACATAACATGAGAAGACAACGGTCATAACTAAAATGTTACAAGCCAGTCAGATATATTGAGAAAACAATAAGGAACCATAATTTCCAACCTGTGAGTACATGTAATCTGGACCGTATGCTGCAATCCTGCGAGGAAAAAAACGAGACTAAAGTCAGAAATATTAGCAGAATATGGGCTACTATGTCTCGGAAAGATGTAAAGAAGAAGGACGGCATTTCTACGACATTAGCCTATCATCGAACAAAGGTCATAACCTACGAGAACAAGCACAAAAAACAAATCCCTGTATGTTTCTCTCTCTAGTTTTAACCTAATTTGTCTAATCAAAGTCCAAAAACATTTCATGACCTTGCATCTTCACAAAACATTGAGTTGGGCATCATATCCTCGGCAATATTTTTTGTATTCCTGCAAGATTACCAATCACAACATGTCACATCACAGTGCTACACTCGAGAATCCTAAGGGGTAGTAAACAATTATCGACTCCTTGACCCGTTAGAATCTCCTAAGTGATTGTCCATGCTGTGATTGGTAAATGCCAATAGATCGAAGTGACTGACAAAATCTTTCACCTTTTTTATGAGATTCGTCGACCAAGCATATTTAAAGATTTTAATTCATGACACCAATAACAGGAAGCATAAAGTTGAAAATACGTATGTAAGCAAACATTCATCATATCAACTAGCAGCATAAGATCACAAGCAAATGAAAACTTAAACCGATGACTCCTTCATCACATGCCAAATGACAAGCAAATGAAATAAAGCGAAAGAAGGGTAATACAAATTCAATAATCATTGCAAACATTATTCAGCTAATAGACCACAGAAGAGCTATACAAATTATATAAAGTTATAATGAGCATAAAGATTCATATCTCACAGAAGGTAAGCAAGCCATAATAAACATCCACAGTAGTGAGTGAACTTAAAAAATGCAAGACTTACCCGTAAGGGTACAAGGCTCCTTGCTGGTAACTGTAAGGAAGTGGTTGCTGATACGGGAAATTTCCAAAAAATGCACCTCGAGGACCCTGTACCCCTCCCACGTATGGGGAAGCAGGTCTTAACCGTCCTATCCAAAAATAAAACCAATCCACTACATACATTACAGGAGTTCTTCTACATCAAAGATCAAAGTAAAGGGTATGAATAATTATTGCAGAAAGACTAACCAGGCAAATTGGGTATTACTGCATAAGGGAGATGAGGTCGTGGTCTTCCAAGGGAAGCGAGATTACAATTTGCACGTCTACCATCTATAATGGGTGTTGGATCGATGCAGGCTCTCCGAGCAGCCTCTGGATCCCGAAAAGTCACCTAAATCCTCCACATAAAATACAATTGATAATTGAGTCATTCTTGATTATCCTCTCGAATCAACAGCGTTAAAACAACTGATCACACAAGCCTAGTGAACCATTCTGCGGCTATGATTCCTTGAGACGATGAAACATAGCCCTAATGGATCTCTAAGTATCAGCTTCTTGCCCTGATTTAACAGAATTACCACTGTAATTACAATTCTAAAGAGACATTTAGCATCTCTACCTAAACATTCGAAAAACAGAGGGCCCGGGAGAAATTACAAGCAGAGAAAACCAAATCCTCGGGTCAACAAGAAGAAACGCAGAAACACCAATAGATCAACAAAAACAGGATACTCACAAAGCCGTAGCCTTTGGATCGGCCAGTGTTCTTGTCTGTAATGACGACCGCTTCAAGGATCTCGCCATACTGTTCGAAATGCCGGCGAAGGGTTTCACTCTGCGTCTCCCAAGCAAGACCGCCGACGAAGACCTTGGTGAAGGTTGTATCACCAAAAGGGGAATTCAAGTAATGGAACCCCGAACTCGGAACCGGCTGATACGCCATGATCAAACCCTAGAGAAATGAGAGAGGAAAAATGGAAACTTTCTCAGAAGGAAGGAAGAAAGGAGATGAATTGTGTGATTAAGGACAGATTCTAAGTGATATTAAAGGTGACCCAGTAAACCCTAGTCATAGTTTCAACGATTAAACCCAGTGCAAGCACAAGAAAATGAAGAGGAATAACCATAATCCATCGAATTGAAACATGATATTTCTAGGGTTTATCAGGGTCTGCCTGAGGAGAGAGAGAGAAGAGAGGGAGAAGGGAGCAAAAGGGAGATCGGCCAAACAAAACCTAAAGATCAAAATAAATAATCACGAAAAGAAGAAAAAAGAGATCAAATTTCGTCAAAAAAGAAAAAGGAACCCTCGAGCTGATGTAGGATGGCCCAGGAAGGGGAAGAAGTGGGTGGGTGGGTGGGGATTAGGGTTTCTGAACGGGAGATCCCAAAAGAAGCAGAGAAGAACGCAAGGAGAGAGATGACGAATTCCAGCAATTTCGAAAACCAGGTGAGGAAATTCTGAGAAAGAAGAACAATGAAGACCAATAAAAAAAAAAGAAAAGGGAAAAAAGAATCCAGCGATTT